CAAGATCTTTCGCTGTCTATAGCCGGGTACCCATTCCCACCTGGGTGAAGCGAGGAAAATTCGTGTAAAGTGCCTTTCCCAAGGACACAACGTCGTGTCCCTGACGGGATTCGAACCCACGACCTTACGGTTGCGAGTCCGAGAGCGTAACCACTAGGCTACCGACGCCACTATTTCAGAACTTCCGGGACCCCCTCCTTGACATATACGAGTATCTAGTGTGGACATGAAATGGTGGTTCTCTGGTTTCTTTTGTCATACATCTGTTTTTGCACCCTTGGTATTGGTGGATTGAATTCATCACATTTTGCTGGAAGGACAATTTGGAAGAAAATGTGAAGAGAGAGTTTTCATAATATTGTTGTACTGCCTGTCTGTCTGTGAGTCAGTTTCTGTGAGTCAGTTTGTTAGTGTGTCTATATGATCTTCATCAGTGTTTGGGAGATTTAAAAAGATGTGTTCTCCCTCCTCTATCACTCCTCATCACCCCCAACAATCCCTGTGACTCCCCGTCTATTCTTGTCACTCCCCATTACATGCGGATTACTTGAGAACGACACATGTACGCCATTGGCCGATATTTATAGTAACAGCCATCTTGTTTGATGTCATTGAGGGATTCCAACTTTGTTGTCGTTCAGGGTGGCAACACGACCGCAAAGAACTATTGCAGTATTTTTAAAGCCTGCAACTTACAGTGGCGTGGTGGTTAGTGCATTTGTCGCCAAAGCAGAAAGTCCTGGTTGGAGCCTTGGTTCGGCCACAGATTTTTTTTGGGCGCCCCCCTCCTGCCCGCCCACCTGTTATGGGTACCTGACTTCGAGTTGGGGAAGTAAAGGTAAACAAGATAGCTGTTGCTATAAATATCGGCCAATAGCGTACATCTGTCGTTCTCAAGTTATCCGCATGTCTCCCCTTCACTCCCCCCTCCCAATCACTCTCCATCACCCCCACCCCTCCCAATCACTCACCATCACACCCCACCCCTCCCAATCACTCATAATCATACCCCCACCCCTTCCAATCACTTACCATCACAC